TTCGGGTTTGGAATGTCGGGCAGTTGTAAAACTCACCGAGCCCAAAAAGAAAAATTTAGGAGAACGTGGAATTGATTTTATATTCATTGGATATCTTTAACATTCCAAGGCATATAGGTTTTATGTAATAGAACCTAATGATTCGGTTTCGATTAACCCCGTTATCGAATCACGAGATGCAATTTTTGATAAGATGCGTTTTTCATGGATTCAAAGGCCGAAGGATCTGACTTTTGGTACTAACAAAGTGAAAAGTTCAGAAAGTCAAGATGGTGGTAATGTGCAAGAACCACAAGAGCTTCGTAGAAGCAAAAGATGCCAAATTGCGAAAAATTTCGGATCCGACTTCCAACTATATTTGGTGGAAGGTTCAAGGGATGAAATTAATATTGAATACTCTTATTGCTATAACATTGAAGATGATCTTAATACATATCAAGAGGCCATGGAGTCTCGAGATAGTGCCTTTTGGAAGGAAGCAATTGATGATGAAATGTCATCAATCCTTGAGAACAACATATAGATGTTGTCTAATTTTCCTCCAGGTTCTAAACCATTTGGTTGCAAATGGATTTTCAAAAAGAAAATAAATGTTAATGAGACTATTGACAAATTCAACGTCCGGTTAGTCATTCAAGGTTTTAGACAAAAACCCGGTGTTGACTATTTTGATACGTATGCTCCGGTTGCACGTATTTCTACTATTAGATTGTTGATTGCCTTGGCAAGTATCCACAATATGGTTAGTCACCAAATGGATGTGAAAATAGCCTTTTTTAAATGGTGATATTGACGGAGAAGTTTACATGAAACAACCAGAAGGTTTCATTATGCCCGGTAAAGAGCATATGGTTTGTAAACTTGTCAAATCTTTGTATGGGCTAAAACAAGCGCCTAAACAATGGCATCAAAAGTTTGATGGGATTATTTTGTCTTCTAGTTTCAAGACAAACCAATGTGACAAATGTGTTTATATTAGATTTGATGATGCTACTAGAGCTGGAGTGATCATTTGCTTATATGTATTGACATGTTGATTTTTGGTACCGACCAAAATCAAGTAGATGAAACAAAGAAATTGTTATCATCTAAGTTTTCCATGAAATATTTAGGAGAGGCTGATGTAATTATTGGAATAAGAATTAAAAGGATGAACAAATGTTTGGTAATGACTCAAAGTCATTATATTGAGAAAATTCTCAAACAGTTTAATTTTACCGATTGTTCTCATGTGAGTACTCCTATGGATCCAAGTGTGAAACTAATGCCAAATAATGGAGTTCCCATTTCACAATTGGAATACTCTAAGGCTATTGGTAGCTTGATGTATGCCATGACAAGTACCATGCCTGATATTGCTTTTGTTGTGGGCAAGTTAAGTAGATACACTAGTAATCCTAGTGCTCAACATTCGCAAGCAATGAATAGAGTGTTGTTTCACGTCGAGTCTCCTTTAGACCTTAAATGACGATTTTTCCCTTAATATATATATATATAATATATATATATATATATATATATATATATATATAAATTTTCTATTAATTGTTTATCATCTTTCAAATAAAAAAACTAAAAATAAGAAAAAAATTCTTAAACCCTAATCATTGGAGTAGTAGGGAAACACAACTGTCGGCGATCAAACATCTTTCCCAGCTTGTTCTTCCTTCGACGATCAAACGTCGAAGTGAGTACTTCTGCCACCTCATCTGCAAGTCCATCGATGCCGGCCGAATCCATAGGGCATCACCTCACATGCCACTGTCTTCTTTCCCTCCAGCTTCATCATTTTCTCTAGTGTTTCCGTCGGTTATGTGGTTGCTTCTGTAACATCCGACGACCACCACTGATCGAATATGTCGCGTTCACGGTGGTGACAGAAACACCAACGCCTTTATGTATTTCTGATATCTTCTGCAAGTTCGACATTTGGGTTTAAGGTTCAAGCTTCTCATGGTTTCAGATCTATGGAAAATTAAGCTCCTCATGGTTTTAGATTTTTGGAAGACTAAGCAACTAATTTGGAGTTCGATTTTTAGCGATTTAATCAAGAAATTTGGAGTTCAATTTTGGATTTAAAGTTATGTGATTTAAGCAAAGATATGGAGATCGATTTTTGTATTTGATCTAGATTGCTATGAGTATGACGAGTTCGATTTTTTGAGTTTGTTCTAGATTGCTATGATTTCTAATTTTAAGTTTGATTTTTGTATTTGATCTAGATTGTTATGAGTTTCAATTTTTTGATTTTGATTTATGAGTGGGATGCTGGCCAGAGAACAGAGAAATCAGATGCTGGGTTTGAAGGTCTACTATGGCTAACTTAGTGACCTTAATGTGTTACCAGTGAAAGGTTAAAGATGGTGTATGGAGTAGGTTGCAACCTCCACGTCTCTTGCACCATCGGAAAAAGCAACTATCATATCTCCCTTTTCGGATACCCACCTGTAACTTTGTTCTCTTCAAAAATCAGTTCGCCTACCTGCAACTTTTTTCTTGATGGAAATCTCATCAGAAGTCATGGCAGAGACGTCCGGCGATTGCGATTTCCGGTGACGACATCTTGGTACAGGAGGGTGGCGTCATCTGGGGGATTGGGGATGGGTGAGATTATTGTGTTTTTCTTTTGTTTTTTTTTTATAAAAATTAAAATTATTAATAGATAACATAAATTAAAAAAGAAATGAATAAGGATATAATAGTCTTTTTACAACACTTAGGGACCTACGACGCAACAAAATCAAATAATAGGGACGGTTCGAATTAAAAAAATATGTTAGGATCAAACACACAAATAACCCTAAACCACATAGACTATTCGTGTAATTTACCCTAAAATTTATGTCTCCTAGCGGTATGAAGTTGGTAACGCCTTAAAAACTGACATTATTAACATATCATATCGTTTCATTGTGGGCTTTAAAAAACTATTGGGCCAGCCTTGATAATATTCAACAAAAACAGTAATATTCATTTTATATTTGACGGAGATTAAAACTGAAACAAAATAATATCACATAGACAATTTTTTTTTTTTTAAAAAAAAAAGACGACTATAAAACGACATATTAGAATAAACCATAAAAGACCGATTCATGTAACTTCATGTAAGGTACTCCTCACTATTGTATAAATATTATGATAAAGTGTACAGACTACAATGTATAGCTAGTTTTTATATGGAGTTTTTTCTTTGTTTAAATGAGTGCCTATCAACCCATTATAGGTTAAGGGGCTGTTTGATAGTTACTGATTGAGTCAGATCTGACTAAGTCAGAAGTCTGACCGAGTCTAAAGCTGACTGAGTTTATATCTGACTAAAACTATGTTGTTTGATTATATGTCTGACTGGTTGTGCTGAATGATAAAAATGACCATTTTACCTTTAAATTTACGAAATATTATTTTATCATATTAATTTTTATATTTCTATTTTGATTAATTTCTCATTTATCTTTTACCAATTAATTATTATAGTTGTCACTCTTACAATTTTTTAAATTTATTTATTAATAATTAATTATAAAAGAAAAGAAAAACACGTGCACTTCAAATCTCATCCCACCTAAACTACATCTCTATCTCTATATTTTCTCTTCTTATTTTAAAGGGAACCTCAACCATAAAACTCATCTGCCAATAATATACACCATTATATCCTTTCCTCTCCTACCCATACTCTCATCGTGGTGTGTATATCATCGACTGAAACAAAGAACAAATTTGGATTTGAGTTTCAACCTTACAGGTTTGATTTGAGGAAGATCCAAATATTTTTTATTTCGAGATTTGGGGATTCTTGATATGTATTATCATCAAGGAAGACCAGAATCTAAACTTCTCCAATTGTTGAAACTCTCGATTACATCGACCTGAGTCCAGGATCTCAAGACGGAAATATGGTGTTCTTCGATTTTTAGATATGTCAACAATTGTATTTTTCCTTTAGATGGGTCCAAGCATTCACAGTTTTTCCATAAATTTGGTGTTCCTCATGTTCGTAATTATGCGAGATACCTTTTGATTTTGATTTTTGTCTGCAGTGTTGATGGGTAGAATGGGGGCAAAGGATGTCTTTTTTTCTTCATTTAGTGGGTCAGCTATTTTTTTTGGGTGGAACGAGTCAGCCATTTTCATGAAGTGAGTCAGAGCTACATGGTGGGTCAGATACATATCAAACACTCTAACCCAAGTCAGACAAAAAGGTCTGATCGGACCCGGTCAGCACCAAATCAAACAACCCCGGTCAGCACCAAATCAAACAACCGTTTGTTTATTTGTGGTTTGATAAATAAAATACCAAACAAGTCAATATTAATGGATGTATTAATAAATTATTTGTGGTTTGATAAATAAAATACCAAACAAGTCAATGTTAATGAATGTATTAATAAAGAGAAATCCGTTCTAATAAATCAAAATCTTTTTGACACATCATTCTCTATTTCATTTGGACATATGGTATTTTCTAAGATTTTTTGAATTTTCTATTTTCCACTTGTTATTATTTTATGTTTTTCAATTATTTAAAGATGCCACCATATTAATATTGTTATATAAACATTCTAATTAGATGTTTTTTTCCTTTATAAATTTACTTAATTTAAGCTTATATTGACAACGAATATAGCAGTTTTTTTGGGTGCATTTAAAATCGACACTTTTTTGGGTGCATTTAAAATTGACACCCAGAGTATAATATATAGAATGTTAATTAACTGTTATATAGATTTAATTTTAGTATATATCATTGATCATGAAATTTCGGATTTAGTCGATTGTTGACTTGAAATGACGACATTACCCTTCTTGATATTTTTAATTATTTTTTATTATTAAAATAAATTTAAAAAACATTAATAAAAGGGACCATGGTCCCACCATCTAAATACTCACACCACTTGGTAATCGTCGGTATCTGCAACATCATCACCACCGTCAATCTCCTCCACTACCACCACCGCCGGTCTCCTCCACCATCACTACCCAACTTATAACGACCATCTTCGAAAAAGTTGAAATAAAAAATTTATGTTTTTCATTCATTCGCATCAACATGAAAATCTAAATTATTTTGAGATCGAGATCGAAAGTTTTTGCTTCTACATCTTATAATCATTCCAGCAAGCACCTACAGGCTCCTATTTAGATATCAAACATGAGTTCTTGCTAGAAAAACCAACAAAACATAAATCAGATACCATATGTAGCTCCACCGTGGTTCCAATTCCCGATTCATATACAACCCTTTCTCGATTTCTAATTCCCAAACACAAAACCCAAATTTGCCAACCTATAAAACATATTATCATCCACCATATTTCTGATTCAGCTGTATTTGCTTCATCCACCATCGTCGAATTCTAATTTGCAGAATTCGACCTAAAAATTTATTACATTTACTCCAAATTCGCCATATCTCAGGCCATCCCCAAAACCTGAAACTAGATCGGTATACAAACAATGACAATCAGTTTGTAAATACCAAGATCATCAAAATAACATGTAATCAGCACTCGATTCTTGCAAACTAACCATCGATGTTTGAGGTGAAATAGAGAGAGGCGGAGTACACCGATGAAATAGAGAGAGGCGGACAGGAAATCACTCGACAATGGTGGTCGACGGACATTGCTTGACGGCATCGTGAGTCCCAGGCTTGCAACGGTATTTAGGTCACAAAGAGGTTATTTTGGGGTTCCATCACTGATGAAGTGAGCAAGTGAAGATATGGGAGGGAGGAGATTCAGATCGTCGATGAGGAGGGTCAAGGAGGCAAACTCGTCAGTGAGCAGGTGAAGACGTGCAAGAGAGGAAAGTAAGGGAAGTGAGTTTTGTGTGGTGGGACCCACATGAATTGTTTTAATAAATATATTTTTTAAATAACAAATAAAAAATAAAAATCTGAATATTAAATTGAAACGGTAAGACTGTCTTTTTATGTTTAGTAGAGACCAAACGCGTAATAAAAACTTATAATAGGGATGATCCAAGTTAAAAATTCTTTCTAAAGACCAAGCATGTAAATTACCCCAAACCACATGAACAATGTAATTTACCCAAAAAAATATATTATTTAATATTTGATTATAATCATAAAACATGGTTTCAGTTACATTCCACATCTAATATAATTTATATTACTTTTAATATTATTAATTATATGTATATTTTCGGGATCATGGGGTATTTCTATCCATGCGTTTGGTCGGATAGTTCCTATTCAAATTGAGTTCATATATCATGTATGAATTTATCTATGGTAACAAACTATTGTGTTTGAATATATTTAATCACTTTTTTTTTTTAGAAATTTTACAATAGATTCACCCAAATTATTCAAGAAATACCATTTTGACCGAGTATTGTAGGCTAATGTTTTTTTGTACACAATTTATCATTAAACTTTTTTGTACACGATTTACCATTAAATTATGTCTCGTTCAACGACCAAAACTACTAACTCCAACCAACACCGTCTGCCGTCCTCCTCCACCATTCAACTCCAGTCAAACACCGCCTTTCATCACCACCATTCACTACCACAACCACCTATCTACAATTCTGCATCATCTAACACCACCATCACCCATCTTCATCATTCAACCCGACTAACACCAAGAAACCAATCTAAAATCAACTTTAACATGCAACATAATCGATTCAAACATCCTATAGAAAAAGAAGATAAATAGATGTGGGAGAGGAGTGAGAGAAATGTGTGAGCGACGACATGAGAAATGTCAGCGATAATTAAAGGAGTATGAGATTTAATCGGAGAGGAGACGAATGAGATTGTACATTTTACAATGTTTTTAAAAATTGAATATGCAAAATGTTATTTTCTTTCTTCTTGGCCATAGAAGATGACCTGAAACTCGATGATGACAAAAAAAAAATGACTAAACATGTACAAAAATTAGTTTATTTGTAAATCATATAAAAATTATGAGTTTAATGTTGTTTATAAAAAACAAATGTGAATTTAATAATGTTTTTTAAGTATGTCAAACGGAATATCTATAATAACCGATGAAAATGATATTTATTGAATAACATATAAGTTTAATGATAAATCATAGAGCTGACAAAAATCGACCCAACCCGAACCCAACCCAAAATTAGCGGGTTGGGTTGAGATTTTCAACCTATTTAACTTAAATGGGTCAACCCGTCTAACCCATTTAATTAAATAGGTTGGGTTAGGTAAAAATTATCAACCTGTTTTCAACCCGTCAACCTATTTAACTTTAATATATATTTAATTTAATTTTATTTTGAATATTATCATGTATTAATCAAAGTATTAATTTGTAAATTATAATGTTGCATTATTATTATCTATGTTTAATAAATTTCAATCATTTTTTTAACGCCGATAATACTGACCACTCTTCAAAATCACTGTGAAACTAAACATTTTTAATGTTATTTGAACAATTTATTTGTATTTATGAATTAGGATTGTGCTATTGTCATAATTATGAAGTTTTATTTATGTTTTATAATTTAAGTGGTATAATATTTAATTATATAATTTATTTAATTGATTTTAAATGGGTTAATCCAAGTTTAACCCATTTATTTAATAGGTTGGGTCAGAAACTACATAAACAGGTCAACCCAGTGACAACCCATTTATGTAAAAGATTGGGTTGGGTTGGAAATATCAACTCATTTAAATAAACACGTTGAGTTAGGTTGAGATTTTCAACCCAATTATTAAATGGGTTGAACCCGAACCTGTAGTGGTGTTGATTATGATGACATGTACGGAATTAGAAAAGATCTAGTGAATCATCATATAAACTCAAGAACACAAGGAGTAAATAAATTTGTGTAAGCTCATATTAGATCTAGAAAAGATATACAAATGAGTTTGTACAAATTTCTCTCTCTAGTCTAACACTCCAAAATGATCATCCCTAAATATGAGTGTCCTATTTATAAGAAAGACAACTCATTTACACATCAATAAGGTAAACAACATCCAAGCGTGACTTTGCACCCTAACAGAACTCAACCCAAGTCTACCCATTACCATCTCTAATAAATCATATAAAAAAATAACAAGATGGCTGAATATCTACAAAAAAAAAAAATAGTTAATTACCTGATAAAATAATTTTCCTTTAACTATTTTTTGTCGAGCGGTCATTAAGTTCGAAAAAAAATGGCATGGTTTACAATATCATTCATTTATCAGAAAAGACGACCACAGTGGGAGTCGAACCCACGACCTTTTGATCCGAAGTCAAACGCGCTAATCCACTGCGCTATGCGATCTTATATGAAATATAATCCCTTGAAAATTTCTATATTTACTATTTTCTATCAGAGATTAACAGTCCATTTCTTTGCAGTATTTTGTTATAACGCAAACCCAATCACGTTAAGTTATTCATATAAAATAATTTTTCATTTAATAATAAAATTCTTAGTTTGGATAAAAGAAAACATTTGAATAAGAATATGTTAAACACCTCAACTGTTTAATAAAAGTTTCATTAAAATGTGACAAGTTACATAAGAAATACGTAATTTATATAATTATAGAAATAAGTCCGTGTGTATATATAATATATATAATATATATATATATATATATATATATATATATATATATATATATATATATATATTTACTATATATTTATTTTTACTATCTTATAAAAGAAATCTCACTATTTCTATAAATAGAATTAATATACTAATAATATTTTTTTAAGACGTTCAAATCATTAAACTAACGGTACAAGTAACAATCAATAAAATAATAATATTTTTTAAGTAGTACAAAACATGAATAATAAAATACGATTAACCAATGCATATGAACTTCTTATCAGGTTTGACCAAGTTCGTTAGTATGAGTTGTGAAGAAAGCTAAAATCCTGGCAAAAATCTTTCAGTTCTTGGCCCCCCTTCCCCTATATCCGTTCTTCTACTCCTTTGCAAAAATCATCCTGTTTCTCTTTCTACTAAATGGGTTTTCTTCCTCCAGTAAAAAAACCCTAAGACCACTCAAATCTTCAGCATAATTGATGCCGCCTCCCACCTGCGTCTTCTCCATCAACATCCTCCATGACCCACTCAAGCATTTGTTCCATCGTCTTTGTCCCACCTTCGTCTTCTCCATCAACATCGAACTTGCGCCTTCTTTATCGACGCAATGACCTCCACCCTGAGGCTTCCAATGCGAGTAATAGATATTCAAACTCATCACCTGCTATTCGTTCTTGCCGTGTTTCTATTTCTTTTTCTGTTTTAAAATTTGTATGTTTGAAAGATTTATGTTTTTTAGGGTTTTGACGAACCACAATGGCTAATAAGATGTTACATTTAGAAATTATGTTTTCAAAGGTAATATTCAGCTTCAACCCTTTTGATTATAATGTTTGTTGTTCTTATTTTGTGCTAAGAAGATCTGTTTCAATAAGGTCTCTGTTTACCTTTCATCATGTGTGGTTTGTGGACTTTTAGGTTGTTGTTATGGTGACTTTACGCTGGTTGTTATGCTGACTTTCAGGTTATAGAAACAAATATTTGCAATAAATATTTTTTTTTTGTATTTTGCTTACATTTCGGTAGATCTGGAAACAAAAATTCATATAAACTAACTATTTTTCATATTTATTTTGTTTCAACATATCTTGAAACAAAGATCTGTAAAAGGTAGCTTCTTTGTATATTTACTATTTCAGCGGATCTAGAAAAAAAAAGATATGTAAAAAACTCACATTTTTTTGTTATCTGTTACATTTCAATAATCTGAAGATGGTGATATGTACCTTCATGATCGTTTGAAGAATATAACAACATTCTTGTGTAATTGTGAAATGAAATAACATGTATGAATTTATTTGTTTGTGTTTAACAGGTGATCTTACAAATATTTGTGTATGTTTGTGCTTAACAGAGGATCTTTATCACATGTTGAAAGTTCCTAGGAATTAAGAAATAAAGGCACGACATGTGATGAGGAGGTTATAGGTAAAGCTCAATAAGGTGTTGATTGTGCCATTAAAGAGACGCGTCCACAAATAAGGGAGGAACCCCCACAAATGGTAATCTACTTTAAACTTATCTACTTAAATGTGTGATGAAGGAGTTTTTATAATGTTTTTTTTATTTGCTTTCTTATTTAGGGATTTCCCAATGGTTGTGCCTGGTGTAATAGAATGGAAAAGTTGGTATTCAAAGAGAAAGACAGGTCTTTTATGCTTAAGGTTGATTTTTTTTAAAGTTCTTTATTTATTTCATGTGTGATAATACATGTTTTGGTGTAGGAAGTTGATGCTATGAGAACGAAGTAAGAGGCAAAGTGGATAACTGATTTTTAGGACCGAAGGAGAAGCTTAATGCACATATTTACATTTTTAACCTTGGCCAAGGCTGCTCCTTTAATGCTTTGATCAAATATAAGTTTTTTTTACTTGGAAGTTCCTTTGGGCAACTTAAAAAAAAATATGCTTTTTTAGATAAAAAGGAGTTGGTAGACATTTTAGTACACAAGTAAACTCGTGGAAATTATCAAACTCATTTAAACTCATGGAAATTACCCTTAAAATCCATATGTAAAATCTTTAATCATTTTTAAACATTTCCTTTGTTTTCTTTATTTTCTTGCCTTTTATGGGAAGTGATATTTCCACTTAAGAAATTACATTTTATGTGGATCAATAAATTCCTTAAGTGGAAATATCAGTTCCCTTCTACATAACATTCTTGTGTAATTGTGAAGTGAAATAACATGTATGAATTTATTTGTTTGTGTTTAACAGGTGATCTTACAAATATTTGTGT